GCAGCGCCGCGCTGATCGGAGGGTTCGGGGGGCTCGGGGGCCGGCGGGGCGGGGCCGAGCGGCGCGGGGCGGGGCCGGGGCGGAGCTCGGTGGAGATCTAGGAGGCGCCGGGAACCGCGGCGCGCGGACTCGGACCCGGACCTACTCTGGCTCGGCCGCTCCAGGTGAGCAGGACAGGAGCCACGGGCTCGCCACCCACTTTCCCTAACTTTCTTAGGCTCCTCCCTCGGGAGAGGTACAGGGGCGGGATCCTGGTCCTTCCTTTCCCCTAGGCCGCAGTAGCTACGCGGGCGGTGGCGGGACCCTGGAGTATGGGGGTGTGAACAACTTCCCGCGCCTTGGGATCATCCGGCTGTGACTCTAGTTTCCGCCTCCATGGGGTCCTCAGCGTCGTCCCAAGCCCACCAGTCTTGGGGTCTCTGAACGTGTCCATGAGTCTCTGATTTGCATGCTTTCGCCTCCTGGCAGGGACTGGCCGGGGCTCGGGAGTGACCTCTCAGGAGTTGGGGTTGGGGCGCCAGCTCTAGCTTGAGAAGAGGTGGCACTGCTGTCTTGGACTGGGAAAAGGGTTCCATACCCAGGGATAAAGGGGTAATGGGCTTCGCCTGCTCCCTGGACGCGCCTGTGGCTATGCCCAGAGGTGTGCCATGCCCAGGGGTAGGGTCAGGAGCCCGGCGTCGCCGAGATGGAGCCCCCGCCTCGTATAGCGGTGTGACCCCCGTCAGGCCGCAGTTTCCATCTATGAAAACCAGTCTTTGGGCGCGGTAGACGCTACGACTCTATCTAGGCCTCGGACCTGGGGCAGTGCTGTCCGAGGCAGGAATGGTGTCCTGTTTTGGGCTTCGGGGTGCGACTGGGGCGTGGGCAGGGTGGCAAATCCTCCTCCCTGAGGCTTGGCTATGCCTTCAGGGCTGCAGCTGCTTAGAAATCAGAGTGGGGGAGTAAGGACGCACTCCAGGATAGCAAGTCCTAACTCTCCTCTTTTGGGGCCTGGATGGGGGCTGCGTGTCGTTCCGCGCCCCCCCTTCGGTAGGGCCCACATCACCTATAGCCCTGCTGCTCCTGTCCCGGCCGGGATCTGGTCCTCAGGTCGCAGGCCCAGCACATCCAGTAGCTGGGAGGGGTTTAAGCGGTGCAGCCCGAACCCTGGGGCTCTGGGCGTTGCTGCTCTGGCTGGGACGCCGTCCACTGAGGCCTCGGGCGGAGGAGGCTGAAAAGGAGGCCAGGCGGCGGGAAAGGGGGATGATTCATCCCAAGCAGCCCGAATCGGAAACGCCGCAACCTAGGAATAGCCTTGCCTGGGCCGACGGGAGAGGCGAGAGCAGAGTCTGTCCGGTGAGGCCCTGCGCCCAGCATTGGCAGCCCCCTGCCTCCGGCCAAGGTCCCAGCCTGGCTGCTGGGGGAGGGGGAGGCCTCTTCTGGAGGAGTTGAAAGAGATCCTGGGCAAAGTCCGCCGCCGCCTCCTCTGACTGGCTGGTCTTGATCAGCGCGGTCTTCCCGGAGTCTATCTCAAGTCTCTCCTGCTACAGCTCCGGTGCTGACTGAGGAAGTCTGGAAGGAGGGGGCGGGCAAGGAGAGGCTGGAGTCGGTGACACCCCCTCCTTCCCACGCTGCGGTATGTAAAGCGCAGGGGGGGGTGGAGCGCGCGAGCGACCCCTGCGGACCCAGCGGTCTGAGCGCCCCCTCCCTCCGTTACTACGGCGCAGCCACGTGCGGGGGTGGGGTCGACCCCGGCGGTACTTACCCCCAAGACGCGGCTGCTGGGGGCCTCATGCCTTCCGAGGCCGGGGACCCGCGGGCAGGCAGAGAGGGCGCAGGCGGCCGGAGCCCCGCGACCCGGCCTGCGCCAGGTTGCAGCCCGCAGCCCCCGCCCTCCTCTCCGCCCGCGCATCATGGAAACTGGCCGCCCGCCCGGCCCCGGCCGCTCCGCTCCGCGTTCTTCCTCCGGGCGGGCGGGCCAGGAGCCGGCCCCGGAGCGTCGTCGGCGGGTGGCCGCGGCCCTCAGCACTGCCTCCTCAGCGGGGCCAGCGCAGCTCCCCGCCAGAAGTGGGCGCGTCTGAGGCCGGACCCTCGACACCCCGCTTGATTTTCTCCTTCCCAGCCCGGTTGTCCCCGCTGCGGCCACCGTGGCTGATGTCCATCGAGGGCTCGGGTGGCCCAGGCTGCGCCCTGGGTGGTGGGCCCTGCTCCCAACGTCAGATTGTCGCCTCTCGATGCCTTGAAAGGCAGACGACGTGATGCCTGTTTGGCAGACGAAGGAGTGAGGTTCGCACGGCGGAAGGGCAGCGGGTCGGGCTCGGGCCGCCTCCTGGCGAAGAAAGGAGGGCTCTGGGGACAGGAGGGGCGGGCGTGGACTCCCCGGACTGAGGGTCTGGGCAGAGGCTCCGGTGGGGAAGGGGCACCCTCCAGGTCCCTGCGTGCTGTATGAGCTGGAGCCAGGGTGGGGGAGTCGGGCGCGGGCCCTCGGAGTCGCCAGGCGCGCACACAGCGCTTACCTGCCGCCCTCAGACCCAAACTGCGCCTTCCCGCAGCGCCGCGCTGATCGGAGGGTTCGGGGGGCTCG